GCGAGATATAAATATTCCAGATCCCCGGTATACCGCGTTTCCAATTTCACTTCTGTCATATAAGCGCGCAGAGATGAATACGCAAATACGTAAAGATGGCCACGAAAAAGAGAATAAGAGAGAAAGAGAGAGAGACAGGGAGCGTTTCTCTGCCTCTCCCTCCCTCCCTCTCTCTTTCTCGATATATCGAGACAGCCGGGAAACGGGACAACGAGTCATAGCGTGCACGATAAAATGCGCCATGTCCGACTTCATCTGGCCGCCACCGCCGCCGTTGCCACCGAAACTCGTCCCCCGTCGCTTTTCGATTATAAACTGCTAGACGAGCGGAGCAAGCGACGTAGGCATCGTCGATTTTGCTGGCGCATGTAAATCGGTAGACACCGAAAAAATTGCAAAAAATCCGATCTAGATGGAAAAGAGGAAGTGCACGCGCGGAGAACGAGGGCAGGGGAAAGCGATGAAAAAATTGTTGACGCCTCCCCCTCTTTCCCCCCTTGTTGTTTCAGTCCCTGTGCCCACATCGCGTCGCAGCGCCGGCGAATTTGGAGCGAACAATCACAGTGGGCGCGAGCTTTTGCAAAAGGCTGATTAAAGATATCCATAAAGCCAGAAGAATCGCGGCAATCCGGTTCGATCTCGCGAAAGAAACAGAGATAAAAAATAGAAAGAAAAAAAGAGAGAACAGATTCGTTATCCCACGGTAACGAAGTATAAAGCGATCGTGTTCTCTTGATATATCGGCAACGCGCCCAGAAGCGCGATATTGTATTACGAATGTAATACCTCTCGACTGGCTGTTTCGGCATAACGCGTGCGACACTAAACACCGGGAATTATAAAAGAACAATTGAATATTAGGCACCGGCGAAAACTCGTCGGATCATAGGTGACCTCACTTGGTCAACAGATGCGAGGCATTTCACAGACAATTATTCATAAATCTAATTGAGTCAGTCGAAAAAGTCCGTCTTGATTTCGAAGTTAAATTTCATTTTGTCATCACAATTATCTAAAAGTCGATAGAAAGTAGCGAACAACGCGCGTTATTGGATATTTCTATTAAACATGACGTGCATTCAGTCTTGTTTTTATTTTTTTATTAATAAAATAATTATTGATGAAATTAATAAAAAAGTTCAGACTTTTGCAAGCCCTTAATAGGTGTCAGTGTGTCTAAAAATGTTATACAGAACAGGGAAATCATTAGAATACTGAGAAAAAAAACTTGAAAATTTGTTTGTGGGATATAATTTTTATTTCGGAGAGACAACATTTATTTCTATGAAATAAACTTTATATCCTGTAAATAAATTCGCAAGTGTTTTCTTCTCAATGAACGAAGAATGAATGAAAGTATTCTCTGCATTAATTTTTATGCACACACATGTGAAAAATGTCATTCACCTCTACTAAGAAAAACAATTGTTTTCTTTATTTTTCTTTGAGTAACGGTTACATTGAAGAAAATATGTGAAAATTTATTTGTAAGATATGAAGATTATTAAAAATACTAAATTTCACCGAAATAAACTTTATATCCAACAAATAAATTGTGAAGTATTTCTTTCTCATTGTATCTGCAACGTAGAATATTTTTCTCTTGATGATAGTCTTAAAATATACTCATCACAAATATCAGCTCATTGTATACTCAAAAGGACAATTTATATTTTTTTGACAAGAATATTATGAAACTTTGTCAAAGAAAAAGTTGGTTGGACTAAATTTTTTTATCTGATATTCTCTTGATTCAAATAACTATTTATAAATTCACAAAGGAATAAAATCTAAACCTGTCAAAATTCGGAATGTATTTTGAGTGAATTCTACGCTTACAATGAACTCGTGATAGATTTATGGAATACGAATGAGATATTTGAAACAAGTAACATTTCTTTCACTTGCAGCACGTATTTTTCTGTGTGCGTGATCATGTCGTCGATTTAACACAAAGTGGGTGTAAAGAACGTGAGTGATAAATCGATATAAATGAGCGCAGAAAGGCACGGAGATCGGGATGTTGTTTTAGAGGGGCAAAAAAGCGACGAACACGACGATGATGGTGATGTTGATGACGTATTGATGCAGTGCCGCGCGTATATCGTTAGATCTGAGGGGCCTGCGGATGACCAGTCGATTCCATCTCTGTTCGCATCCCTTTTGTTCGACGTTCGTCCATGGATTCGGCCCTCCTCGTGTACCCTTCGCCGCTTCATCCATCGGCGGAGTCTCGGTGGAGGGACGTAGATAACGGTTTTAATTCCATACGAACGGATCGACGTGCGAAAAAAAAAGAGAGAAATCCCGAGCAGGATCCCGAGCCGGGGAGACTGCACGCGGATTGATGGACTGCCGGGAACAATAGTTAACTTCGGAAGTAATCGCTTAATTCCGGAATTTCAGCTGGCCAGTCTGCCTAGTTAGATTCCGTATTGCATGCTTTCCGGGATCTTGTTTTTCCTGCGCCTCCTCCTCCGTCCTTACGTGAAAGGGTTAAACTCGCGAGTTTGCACTGAGAAAGAAATATCGGAGGGCACTAATAACATATTTATATATGTAATAAAGTATATATTAAAAAAAATATATAGAACTTCTGTATATTGAGAAAAAAATACTGGACAATTTATTTATGGGGGAGGGATATAACTTTTATTTCACAGAAATAAACTTTACTTCACAGAGAAATAAGTTTTATTTTGTAGAAATAAACTTTATATCCTACAAATAAATTTTCAAGCGATTTTTCATAGTGTGTGTTCGTTAAAAACTCTTAAATCTTTGATCAATCTGGACCAAATTTGGTATAGTTATTCTCCAGGAAAATATAAGCTGCCACATGAAACTTGAACATTCAATTTCGTCCCTCTGATTTCATCCCTTTAATACTTTATGATAATCCAGATAACACCGAATAGTTTAAGCTACAATGAAAAAAAATATTTGAAAATTTATTTGCGGGATATATAATTTATTCATAGAAAAATAACCTCTATTTTACAGAAATAAACTTTATATTCCACAAATAAGTTTTCAAATATTTTTTCTCACTCACGCAGAGTGTAGTATAAAATATTTTTCCAATAAGAAAATATATATTTTCCTAAAAACTTAAGAAAGCTCTAGCTTTGAAAAAAAGCAATTATTTATTCTTTTTAAATCAAAGATTTCAGATTCAAGTAAATATGTGTTATTAGTATTCACCAAAAAGAAAAGTATTTATTATTCTTTAGATATTTTTTCTTTCAGTATACCATGTGTGCCGGCACGTGGACGTATTTCTTGATTCTCATCCACAGATTGTGTTTAGCTTCTGTTCTTTTTCTTCCCTCCGTAATGCGCAAGGATCAAGCGGAAGATCCGCGCACAACTATCTAATTTCATGAACCGACACTGTGACTTCTGGTCCAGAATTTCTATTAGCTGTAGCGCGCAACGTGACCCGAAAAAGAATTCACGTATTCCTATAATTTGAATGGGAAAACACGTGCGACGACGGCGTGGAGGGCGCGTGTTTTTAAGTAAAATCTCGAACGCAGAAAGAGTTTCCGCGAATAATTCGTTGGGAGAGTGAGAGCGTAATCACGGTGATTTCCCATGACATACCGGCGCGCAACGTCTTTTTTTTTCCGCCACGGCCTGCGCTCTTTTCATCCTAGTGGTCTCTCGCGAGCTCCACGTGGCAAATAAAGGGTTCCGCTCGAACTGAAGCAGAACGCGGTAAACAATGGTACCCGGCGCGCGCGGCGAATAGCCGCTTTGCCGGCCTGTTCTTCTGCCACGATAAAACTTTCGTCGCGGTGGCACACTTGCGAGAAACTTTTCCGAAAGCGCCCGGAGTTATCGACAACGGAAGGCAACGGTTTGTTCTACTTCCACTCTGCCGCGGAACGATGCCGTTTCGTAAAACTCATTAACCTAACCGCGAACAATTGGAAGATATTCGGCGAGTTTCTCAGGTATACACTATCGAGACACGGCTCGTAACGCACCATGGGAGAGCAATTGGAAGTAATTATGTGCGAGATTGTTTGTTGCGCGGAGGATCTCACTTGCGATTAAAAAAAATATATGTTGAATTATTTTGATCTTTGGAGTACGAATCGAGACGAAATCTCGAGAGAGACCTCGAGTAACGTTTGTAACTATGTGTCAGAATTCTACATTCAACTTATTAGAAAAATTATAAGCACGTAAAGTAATATATTAAGGCAGTCGAAAGATTGGCTGTAATTCCGAAATCTAGTTTCACTTTGCCGCAGTTAGTGGCCACGAATTACTCATTGACCGAGAATTATTTATTGTTGTTGCTATGTTAACATTTTTTATAACATTTATATATACACACTCATGCACACAGAAAAATAAATATATCTATTATATATACTGTACACTACACTGTATTCGAGTAAATGTTAGTTGTTTCAAGGATTTCATAAATTTATATATCCGTAAATCTATAATAATAAGTTTATCATAAACATCAAATTTATTCAAGATAGATTCCTAATAACATTTCAATCAAGAATCAGATGAAAAAATGAATTCGATTTGCTTGCTAAACATAGAATCCAATTGGATATCAATTTTTTCTTCAAACGTTTACGATATTCTTATAACGAGAATAAATTTTCTTTTCGAATATATGATAATGAATTTTTCTCAAATATGTTATGAGTATGTTTTAAGATTATTATCAAGGCAATATTCTTTCTTGAAGGTAATCCTTACTTGATAGAAGGAAAGTAATGAGTAACTGAGTAATCGCTTTTCTTAACAATAGAATATTTTTGCGTGTGTAAAAGATAGATCCTAAATTTTTTCCACCAATAATAGAAAAGCAGCATTTACGTATAAAAACAGATTTACTGCACAGTTTATCAGATAGTTTTTTTTATTCTTGTGAGATATATATTGTCATTAAGTAAAAAGCTTCGTGTAAAAGCTCTTTTTATCCGATATATGGAGACGTTCCTTACTCTACGAAATTATATACTTACAAGTTCTGCGTCAATGCCAGCGCCGTCGCGGATGTTCTCATGATCGGCACCGGCACCATTGACCATCCCCGCGGCCGAACCGGTGCTGCTCGCCCCTGCTTTTCCACCGGCACCACCGGCTGGTGTTTGCGGTAAACTCTGAAAGAAGAAAATTAAAAATTCATCTTCGAGTGACTCGCATACAATCAGCATCGTTTAGGCCTTGCTATTTTCTAGATCGGAAGTTGATCGGGATACACTTGATTTTCACTTTTACATACAGAGAATTTTATAGTTAGAATTTTATAGAATTTTATTAAAAATCTATATAGATTTTTATAACTGAGGAATAGGTAAAAACATTCTGCAGTAATTTCCTATACTTTCATTTCATTTGTGCTATTTATATGTCGTATAGGAGCTGAATATTATTAAAAATTTTTATATGATATGATGTTTATGATAAACTTTTTATATATTTTTTTATATGATATAATGTTTATGATAAACTTATTATTATAGATTTGCGGATATATAAATTTATGAAATCCTTGAAACAACTAACATTTACTCGAATACAGTGTAGTGTACAATATATAAAAATTTGTTGTTACCAGCGAAACTTATTATATTTCTTAGCAAGATGAATCTTATTGGCAGTTTATTTTTGCACTATTACAAACGTGATAAAATTAAAAAGAATTTAAATAAAAACAAATTATAATGTCCATAAAATTCTGTCCATATATTTGTAGAATAATATAAAAGATATAATACAGGCAAGCAAGCAAGTAGTACTTAAAATATATAATACAGGGAGAATTTTATAATAAAAATTATTATAAAATCTTGTAATTAAGGAATATACATAAAGATTCTATCAACAATTTATTATTCTTTGATTTCATTTGCGTTTTTTATATTTTAGGAACTGAAATGTAGTATTAAAGAGTTTACTGTGTTTCTAGTGAAATTTACTATATTTCTCAGTAAGATAAATCTTACTGAGGATTATTCCTGCATTATTAGAAAAACATATAATAGAATCGAAAAGAATTTAATATTCTCTCCGTGTACACATACACGCATAAAATAACACAAAAATCACACAAGTGATTCTAGTTGTAATGGTAAGGCTTACATGATGCATACAATTTACGATCGAACATGGTCTCACGCGCTCTCAAAACAAAGATCATCTCCCGTGAACACTCGCGAATAACAATCGCGTTATTCATGCGCGTTGAGATCCGTTTCGCACGGCAGCGACGACGATCTTCCGTCGATTTGAAAGCGATCGTATTACCGTGCCGCGAACGATCCGCCGAAAATTTAGCGTTGCCGTTAAGGGGAAGTTCGATAACGCGGCGCGCGTCGTGACCGATTTGTTTCCCGCCGAAATCCGCGCTGAAATCTCGCCTCAATTTCGCCCCGGCGAGTGATCGTTCCTTTTATTCGCAACGTCTTGAAGCTTTTCTCGAACTCTTCTTCGCGGCTTCCTTCTATATGGCCCGCCCGTCTGCCCACGGCTGCGCTTCGCCACCAGCGCTGGCTTTTACGAGGGGGATTAGGTGGTGTAAAGGATGGTCGTAAAGGGAAATTTCGCCGAACGTATTTGCTCCGATCGTCCTGCGCCGGAGGAAGGTGTAGACAGGACGGGGGGAGGGAGGGCGGGCGAGAAAAATAGCCGGCGAGACAAAGCAATTTGTATGCACTAGGGAAATGTGGGCGCGACAACATTACCTACTACCGGCTCCTTCCGTTTCACATTAATGAGAAACGCGGGATGAGGTGGGAAGATGCGCCTCCGCGTGAACCGGCGTCTTTCTCGGTGAAAGAATTACGAGCGCGGTCTTTAAATCAATTTCATCAACGTGACGGAACTGGAGCTCTTCAAGTAAGAGGACAAAGCATGATGATTGCCAATTGGTCCGCGTCTTTAGGGATGGCGTGAGCAGGGACGAGAGAGAAACTCTAACAGGAGAGAAGCTCGAAGACTGAAATGACGAAACACGCTGCAGCTTTTCTCTCACTCACTCAGGACAGAATCCATTTGACGCTGCAAACGCTTCGAAGCGTCTTGTATAAACCGATAACAATCTTCCCTTATATGCGTTAATGCGTTGGCAAATCTAAACGAACTCCTTATTTCATTCTAACAATAAAGTGTTTGGTATTTGTAACTATAATTGTATGGAGAATTAATAATTATTATAAATTATAAGAAAAGAGTACTTTTTCTTATTAAATTCTACTATAATGTTAGTGTTAATGTTATCAATAATTTTTTTCCTCTCACTCTGAGAAAAAAATGTTTGAGGATTTATTTATAGGATATAAATTTTACTTACACACACAGAAAAAAATTTTATTTCACAGTGATAAACTTTATTTCATAGAAATAAACTTTCCCACAAATAAATTTTTTCTCAGTGCAGTGTATATAAATAACAGATGGGATTTTAACTTTTATAGTGTACTGAAAGTACTCACTTCGTAGTCCATTTTTTTATTTAAGAACGTCTTATATGTATCTTCAAATATTTTTTAGCCAATAAAATGACGTGTACAGCATCTATACAGTTGTCTTGTTGACTAAGAGATTGTTGACTAAGAGATTTATTTAGAAGATATAATTAAGACACGACCTTAAATATAAGACTATGAACAAACCTTAATGTGTAGTAGTGCAAGGGGCTGAATTCACTATTAGTTTAGGAACTCTCTCTTTCCCCTCTCTCTCTCTCTCTCTCTCTCTCATTTCACCGAATTCGTGGATTGATCGGCTGCCATCTCGTGCGCGTCGGATGTGGGGCGAAACATCGCGAAAACTTTTCACGCCACACACAGAGAGAGAGAGAGAGAGAGAGAGGGGATGCGCGTTTTCAGGCAGACAGACGGTAATTTTTGAATAATCTATCTCGGATGTGTCTCGTGGGGCGGAACGTGCGATATTGTTTCCTAAGTAAGATTGATCCTTTTTTTCCTTTGTTCGCGCCGCGCCCGTCCACGCACGGAAATTCGTGGACGGCCGGGCGAACGCGCGCGCGACCCTGATACGCTTCCCATTTCGCGACATGTGCACAGTGATATTCATCTCCGCGCTGACAATTTGTGATGTATCGCTTCCGTCGAACTTTACAACGTAGCTCTCTCGCTCGAAGACAGTTGGTTAACTTTTGCTCGCGCTCGCATTTCTAATGCAATCGTTCGTTGGACGTTTCGCAGAAATTATAGTCGCCGCGCGCGCGCCCTCAGCATCGTTTGCATTCGAGCATAAATCAATCAAAGTCAGTTGCCAATCTCGGTGATCAATGATTACTCTAAGACTCTTAGCTTTTCAATTACACGAAGTATTAACAGTCTTATGTGGAGTTCCTTAAGTCTCTTAGTATTTCCTTTACTTACTCTGTGTTTTATCAATGATTATTCTAAGACACTTATGCTAAAAAAATAGTTTTGCGGTTATAACGAAAATTATCTAGATACGAGAAGTTAGCTGAGATGAAAATATATTATAATAGTGCACACTGAGATATCACATATGTTTTGTATTTAAATTAATAATCTAGACGATAGAGACAGAATTTATATTTGAGCTATTTGTATAAAATTTAGCAAGTTTCTTCTTGTGACGTTCATCCAGATAAAAGCCAGATTAACAATCAGTTACGGGACCTAAATTTATCTGCAGGTATTGTTAAAAAAAGCTGTTGCTGTAAATTCTGCACACACAACAGGCGATTTTTAGCAGATGTTTAGCAACAAACAGCGGTGAATTTTGATCGTAACATTTAAAATTCTATCTGGACCAGCAGAACATTTTTAAGCGCGAAACGTTAACAGTTCTATGAAAGCCAATATACACTGTGAATAAAGTGCTTGAGAATTTATTTGTGGGATATAAGGTTTATTCATAGAGATAAACTTTGTATCCCATTAGTGAATTTTTCAGTATTTTTTCTCAGTGTATTATAATTATCGCCTCATCAAGAAAGCTTTAACATTATTTTATTCAACTGAAGTTCTTGTTCTTAGTTCCTATTTGTTGGAGCGTCTTTGTGATATTAACCCTTAGTGGCCCTACATGAGTATTTCGAATCCGGATGGTTTCTATTCATAAAAATTTCTCAGCACGTTGAAAGATCCTGGATGTACTACATTTTAGTTTTTCGCACAATGAAGTACAGGTATTTGTTCTAGAAAGTTGAAAGTATATCAGTGAATTTTTACAGATTTTTTAAACCATTTTAAAGATATGATAAAAGGGTCGGAGTCGAAAGACCCATACGGAAAAAAGAATTCTGTTGGTGCAACCTAATTTTCGGTTGCTCAGGGATCAAACGAGAACTCGGCTGTAGGGACAGAAAAATTCCTTTATGAGACTTCTGTATAGTCAATTGTTCTCAGTTGCCTGAACTGAGTTCTAATATCGTTGAATGTTCAGACGAATATTTTCAACAATAGGTTGCGACAACAGAAATATTAGTTTTCATAACAAAGATATCGCTTCTGATCACCTAATTTTCAGTTGGTTCCTATTTGGTTGCACCAACTGAAATTTTTTTTGCGTGTATATAGGGCCACATGTGATGCCGTTTTTCACATAAGCCACTAAGGGTTAATATTACCTTCCTCTCTCCGCTGTGATCCAAAGTGCAGCAATACAAATCGGTCAAACGCGAACGGGCTCCAGACGTTCGTAAAATCGTTTGTAAATAATTGCAAAACGCAGTCTCGAGGTTTTCGGAGCTGAATAGAACGGTCCCACAGGATCAAGAAACGCTACGTCGACGACGGGGTACAAGCGATATCCATCGTATTTTCCCAGTGAGAGGTCGGCGAGCGTGCACCGACAAGAAATATATAAGCAAAGTCTTGCACGCTTAGAAACGCTTACATTAAAAATGCTTTTAAGATCGAACCGGCTGGTCGATAAAGCGATATGTGGTACTCCTAATGGCGCGGCGCTTTATACGCCCAAGTGGTGCCGGGGGGTGAGCGAGATGATTGCGAGCAAAATCGGGAATAAGAACGCTCCTCGTCCGGACGGTGAGCTCTTCGCGGTGGAGACCGACCATGACGAGGGAGATCCGGGAGTTACGGTTAAGCTAGTGTCTCTCCGTCGTCCTCCATGACTCTATCGCCTCCCGTCTACA